GTAGCTAAATATGCTAGTAGATGTAGCTAAATATGCTAGTAGATGTAATCTGCAGCCACTTCTTCAGCTCGTCCTCCATCCCTCGGCCTCATCAGGCAGCGGTATGATCATATTGTCCTGTTTGAGCTCTGACAGGTGGTGTTCCTACATGCTTAAATTAAATCCACAATGCTCGGAGAAACTACATCAGCTCGTAAACAAACACGCCGGAAGTTGTGCCCATAATTCACGCAAGGCAGCACGGTGGCTAGGAATAAGGTGGATAGCATAGAGGCCTCAAATGTGTTATAAATGTTCGATTTCCTGCTGGAGTTCAGAGAAAGATGTGTGGAAAAGTGGCTGGAAGTTAAATAAAGAGGAGGTTTGGTCTGTCCCATTAGTGTCAGTCTGTCATCTTATTTACAACAATGTGGACAGGAAAACTAGCCTTTTCTACTGTGGTTATGAATATCATATATCATTAATGTCCATGCTATTTTTGGTTAACTTAACAAGGAGCCACCGCAGAGGAAGTAAAGAGCCAGATGCAGCCCCCGAGCGTTAAGTTGTAGAACCCTGTTTTAGTCCCATTGCTTCCGAGAGCTCCCTGTGCGCACCAAAGCTCCGATAAAGACCTTCTTCTTTTGCCATCTGCCTAAAGTCCACTCCAGCTCTCTGGGCTCAGACACATTAATCATTTTACTTCAGCAGGTAAAGGTGAACATCTCTCCCTCGATGTGGTTGTACTTTGAGAGAAAGGGAGAAAAAAGGGAACTTCAGATGGTTTCACTTCCTGTTAGTGAGCTCAAGGTTGAATACTGCCGTTTATGCACCGAAGGTGAAAAATAAAACTTCTTTTCATCTTTGAAAATATAGACCTGTCTCTGAGGTTACAGCAGCAGTGAGAAACAGTTTCTTCTGTGAGCACCGCTCGTTTTTTACATGACAGCTGAATAAATTAATTTTCTTATCAAAGAAAATGCAGTAAAAATGTATTACACAAACATGAAAACATGTTTTTTCCTCTTGAAGTGGCGACAGATGGCACCAAAGAAGCTGACTTTAAGCACATCTTCACCGTTCTTCAAACGGAAGAAAAGAGGAGCAGATTTTAATGCATGTTCCATCTTCTTTCTGCAGCTGACATCAACAAACAAGAGCTGCCTGCAGAGCCAGGACGGAGTCCCAACGAGCGCCACACTCACGCTCCAGCCTTTGGTCCCTCCTTTATCAATCTCCAACCCTGAAGGGGCTCTTTGATTTCTGGGTGGTGCAATGTGTTGGAAGATGATGTGAGCATGGCTAATTGGCACCTTTCTAGAGTTTGAAATGGTGTCACTTTCATCTGCGCAGCCTCTCATTCAACATTTCCATGCCGCATTAGATTTTCATCAAATATTTAGCATATCACAGAGGCAAAATACAAGACGATTATTTCATTTGATGACTTGGCAAGGCAGTTTTCTGAGCACTCTCTAAACCAGGGCTGCTCACACCTTTACATCCTGCAGCTGCTTTTAAAATGATGATCTACCTGCTGTAAGGCCCTGTTCACACAGAACAACCTCTGGAAACATTAGTGTTTCTTCAATGTTTATTGTGGGTAATAAACAAAAAATGAGCAGGTTTACAAGAAAACTGTAGTTTCCATGTCAGTCAGGTTGCCAGATAATAAATTATAAACTACAGTACTGTGGCTTTATAAATGATAGTATTTTGAGCTAAACTGTCATATGTGCTGAGTAAAGATATTCTAAGATGAGGTGTGTGTTGTGTTTGTTGAACATATGCACAGAAAAGGAGGGGGTAAATAAGATGTTTTAAATTTATCTGGCAACCCTGATGCAGGGCTCAGCTAGCTGCATTCATTGCGCAGTTACTCCAAACTGATGAACACACCAACATCTCTTTTGAGCCTGAATTTGATCAGTTTTGCTCCTACAGGCTGAAAAATGCTGAGCCTGTGGGGGTTCCCCTGAAAACCTCCACTCTTGAGACCTGGACTCAGAAACCTTCAGTTTCAGAGAGGCTGTTGTCTGTAAATGAACGTTTCACGTCGTGTAAACGGGGCCTCAGACTGGCTGCCCTGTCCGTCAATCAAGAGACTCATTTCACAGATGATGATGGGCTGACGTCTGGTTGTTAATGCCATGTCATCTACCCAGAATACCTCAGAGATGGACCAGTACATTGCGATCAACATATCGGGCACCCCTGGAAACTGTTCTGGGTCACGGAGGAACATTCCTTCCCTGTCTGGTGATTTTTTTTTTCATCTTTTTCAAAGGTTTTGTTCTGAGCACAGCACACACATGCATGTCTATCTAGCACCTTTAGGAAACTCAAGTGAGGACCAGTTCTCTTCTGTAATTATTGCTCATTTAAGTCCATCTCTTCCCCTTTGAGTCTGTGCACGTCAGATCAAGAAGACATCGCGCTACACAGACAAAATAAAACAAAAGAACCCCAAAAAGCATTGCCATTGAGTCATCTAAAAAAGTGTCAATGCTTAATCTAAACATCTTTTAAGGCAGTATTACATCTACTTTTTCTAGATCCACCCTTAAACATCACCTGCAGCTGAACCAGTCCACAGAACAGAGTTAGTGTGCAACGTTTTAGGCTAAATAAAATGCAGTGGCTGCACTTTCACTCCAGTCTTTGAACTGTGCTGACACATACTGATCAATAAGCAAGTTCACAGACTCCGTGTGCCGTTGTGAATACTAAGTCAAAAGGATATTGCTACTTTAATATAAAAGTCCAGTGATTAGAAGAACATTTAGCCCCTTGCAGCTCCTTGGTGTTGCACTTCAGTGCAAATTCCTTGATAAAGTTTTGAGATTATGTCCAACCTCAACTATCATGCAGGCAAAAAACAAGCAAGGCGACGCATGAACGGGAAAAACAACCAAAAAAAAAACTGCAAACAGTTTGGAGTCCAGCACAGCTCAGCACCAACAACACCTCCAAAGTTCAATCTGCATTTATAAGTGAGTTACCCTGTTGTCACATCCAAAGAGAAGAAAAACAAGTTCTTTATGAGCCACGCCGTCTCCCTGTGGCAAGCAAAAAGTAGACATCCAAAAAGAAACGAGCGACCAAAGGAAGTAAACAAGCTTTTCTTCTTCATGAAGAAAATCCACAGCCGTGTTGTGCGCTGAAATCATTCCTAAAGGTAAATCATCTCCTGTCCAACTGCCCTTTGTTATGTGGTTGAGATTTTAGAGCTTCTACAAAAATAGAAGAAAAAAAACAGTTATCTTGTCCAGGTAGTTGCTGTTGTGTTGCTGTTTCTCTCCCTCTTCCTCTCCTTAGTGCCGTTTGAAGAGACAAACCTGAGTCCCTCACTGAGGAACGAAGGTGTGGTTCCAGTCTGGAGGAGTCAGACACAACGCACGTCCGTTTACTTTGAGCAGAACCCGGGCACAGCCCAGGCACCGCTCCGAATACGTTTTGCTTTTTGTGTCTGTGCCCTGACTATGGCAGCCTGTTTTGTCTCATCACACCTGGACACCTGTACCATGGAGAAGCAGCATCTGGGCTCTCATAGTCTGTATGCTGCTCATGATCTTCTTCTGGTGGCCAACCAGTGAGATCCCCAAGCTCATCACATCCCTGGAAGACAGGACAGCACATCAGTCAGGGGACAGCTCATGGACCCATGGACACCAACTTTACATTACTAGACAACATGATCATGTAAATTATGTCTGATGGACTCAAGTTAAAGACTAAACACACCCAACTTTTAGGAGCAGGACATGCAGGAAGTCCACATTCTCTTCCAGGGCTAGGGTTTTACATCTCAGGAGGACATAATAAAACTACAGTTGATGGGGACTGCCATGTTGCAGCCATTTTAAAATACTATGTGTTGAGGTTTGCTCTCAGCTTCCATTATACCAAATTTCAGATCAATATGGCAAAAAAAAAAATCTATGAGTTATAGACATGTTTTCTTTTAACATATGGCGGCCATCTTTGGTTTTTGATTTGGATCCAGTATGAGATGGGGAACATTCTCAGTTATAACCCCACCAAATTTCTGCTCATCTTTTAAAATAGCTGAGTTATTGTAATTTTTCCCTTTAAGCTACGGTGGCCATCTTAGATTTTTAATTTGCATCAGGAATGTATAACAACTTGCTCTCAGCTACTACCATTCTAAAGTTCAGCTCAATAATTGACTGAGTCAATTTTGAGTTTTCTGAGGTAGCTGTAGCAGACATCTTGAATCAAAATGGCTTCAAAAGTTAATCATTGTTTTGTTCAGAGATCTCTCCCCTCTAGGTCACGTGACCTGTTAAGAGTTCTCTTAGTGTTTTTTCAATGAGAAAAATGGCATCTCTGTTCACAAATTACTTATCCATGGTAACTCGAAGCGCCAATGAAAAAGTAATAGCACACATCACAATGCTGAGCCGGTTGTGTTGATATAACATTTGTGGGAGTACATGTTGTGGTTCCAGTCACATTAAAGTTAAAAGAAGAGCAAGACCATTTTCAGGTGGATAATAGGTGGCTGCCTTCAGGCAGTCTCCAATGATCTGGTCTTTACCTGGTTCTGAAACCATTTAAATCTTGCCTCTAATGAACCTATGGTGAAATTTGCTTTTAGTAGTTCTATTTCGTATAGTCAATGCCCACCTGCTGTGTGTGGGCCTCACCCCCGATCCGTATAAATTACGGTGAGACCGGGTAATCGACTCCCATTTTTTCTTCAGCCAGCTAGCTAGCACTGTCAGAAGAACGAAGAAGGAAAAGTTGTCCAGCTTTGACCGGCACAACCTTTGTCAAGGATGCCTGGGTCTCCACCACGCCAACCTCCTGCCGTCCCAGTGAGCTCTTCCTCCCCGAGGAGAAGCAGACGAACAGTCTTGTTCAAGGTAAGCGCCGAGGAGTGCTTTTCCGTGGCAAGCCGCTACCCGCTGGATGACGCCATTGCCTTTTCTAACGTGTTTTTTCCTTTCGGTAATCAAAGGCGATGTTAGTAGCAGCCCCGCTGAATGTTTTTTCAGTGGCGGGCCGCTACCCGCTGGACGATGCTACAGCCTTTTCTAACTGTTTGTTCCTCGCGGTAATCGAATGATTTCCTCAAGAAGGCGATGTCAGCAGCAGCCCCACTGAACGTTTTCCGTGGAGGGCCGCTACTCGCTGGACGACGCCACCGCCTTTTCTAACGTGTTTTTTTTCGAGGTAAATCGGATGATTCCCTCAAAAAGGCGTTTTTGGCAGCAGCTGAGTTTTTTTTTTTCTGTGGTGGGACGTTATGCGCCGGACGACGCCACCGCCTTCTTTGACGTAGTCACGCAGTGAATCAAATGACTCTTCCAAGAAAGGCGATGCGGCGCTACCCCCTCCCTCCTGGAGAGCGTAGTGACGGAAGACGAGTGGCCGAGCGGATGCTCAGCCACCTCGAATCTTCCCACGTTGGTGACCACACCGCTCCCAGCCATCTGCGCCCTCCTTTCAGAGCTGCCCGGCATAATCCAGGAGGATGTTAACACAAGGGATTTTCCGTCCCTCGCCTCCCTCCGCTCTGATAGGATGATCTGGCGGCAAGGTTGGCTCTGCCCCGACTCGTCGCCCTGACCCCACCTGACCTCGCTGTCCAGCTGTGACGTCACACTGGAACGAGGCTGCAACTGGGCCGGAAAGTTGAAGACATCTGTCTTCGCCTCCATCTCCAGAGTAGAGGGTTTACCGATCCTTGTTTTTTCCCTCGGTCCCCCCCGGAGCCAAGCCTGGCAGTGACACTTTGGGCAAAAGCTTCCAGGATGGACCAGCAACCTGTCCCTTGTAGTGGACTAGGCCCATGTCAAAAACTAAGTCTAAGGTCAAAAATCTTGACCTTAAGAACCTTGTGGGACAGGAACTGTCATTTCATTGATTTGAATCCAGAAATACAGGTTCACCCATCCTGAGACTTTCTCTCTGAAGATTCAAGTGAAAAGAACACTCTCTGTTTTATTATCATTACTATTTTACAAATGTTGATAATCAAAGTGTCTTAGTTCAAACCATTTTAGATGTTGCAGTGAACTAATCAATTTTATTAACTGTGTAATGATTTTTTCTCACGCAAAGTTAGAACTCATGTCAAAGCTGTTACAGAGTAATTATGCCTTTTCTGATTTCTGCTTTTGAATGAGCAAGTGTAAGTTGGTCCAAGGTTGGAGTCAAACGCAAAACAAGTTGTTGGCATGTTTTTAGAATCCTCTCAGACATAAATATAGAGGTTTTTGGCACCTGTTTCTGAAACGCGCCAAAACAAAACTCTCTCTGTCTGTGAGAACATTTCTGATCTTTCCATAACAATTCTTGCTGTCTTCTAACCTCTTACGTCACAAAACACACCCCGTCTGGTCGGTTCTGACCAATGGTAATACTCCCAGATGGACCGGAAAACGGCTCTTTAAAATGTCGGTACTTCCGGCAGATCCGTTTAGAAAGATGAGCCTCCCACAGGATGTGGTGCGTACGTTCAGGGAGCATGAGCTGCTTCCACCACAACGTTGTACACATCAAGTGGACAGTGTTTTCAGCGCTGGTGCACAGAGAAAGGCGTGGAGGCCATCTCATGGCCACTAGGTGGCATGCTGTACTTTCTGCAGCAGCTGATGAACAGAAATCTGGCGTTCAGCATAATTAAAACTTAAGCTGCAGCTATTTCTTCCTGTCACGAGGGCTTCGGTGACAAAACAGTTCTTAATCACCCGTTGATGAAGCATTTCCTGAAAGGTGTACGGAGACACAGACCGGTGTCACGTCCACTAGCTTCACAGTGAGACCTAACGATGGTCCTGTACGCTCTGATCAAAGCTCATTCTGAGTTTTTAGATCAGGTTTCACTTAAATTCTGTCATTAAAACAGCCCTGCTGTTAGTTCTGACGTTGATAAAGAGAGTGAGTGTTATCTGCTCTCTCTGTTGCTCCCTCGTGTCTCAGAATTCAAGTTGACGGCAGTTCAGCTGTACTGCGTTTTAACCCTGCTCTGAAAAGCATCACAAGCTCATTCAGATCGAGATTGATAACCTTGGATGGGCTTTATCCTCTTCCTCATAACTCTGAAGAGGAAACAACATCTCACCTCCTTCTGTCCCATGCGCCCTTTTTTCGTGTTACATGGCGCACACGGCCGCACTGCGCTACTTTCAGCATATGTTCGTGCATTACTGGGACAGCTCTTCAGGACGTCCTCTATCCACCCAGGGCCTCTCACACTGGTTGTGTGAGGCTATTTCTGAAGCTTACAGTTCATCTGGACTGGATCCTCCAGAGAATCTCAGCGCATTCCACCAGAGGGTTTTCATCCTCCATGGCTCTGCATGGAGGGATGACAGTGGAGAATATTTGTATGACGGCTGCCTGGTCATCACCATGTTCAATTAGTCGTTTTTATCTACGTGATGTTTCTACTTTCTCCATGACCCATTCTGTTCTCAGGGTTCTGACAGAATGATTATTATTTGTTTCATGGAGCCTCACTTTTGAGCTCAAACCTACCTGCATGCAGTCGTTGTGTGAGATAGTTATTATCAGTCACAAGTTCATGACTGCTGATTTTATTGTTATTAATCGGTTCATCCTGAGGAGCTGTTGGCCTGCTCTGTTCATTGTTACTGTTACAATTCGTATTCTCCGTTGTTCCTATTCACAGCAGCAGGTCTGCTATCTCAGCCTTTTTTCCTCACCAGAGATCTTCTCCGGTGCGCTCCTGCGCATGGAGCACGCAATTACGCAGCGCGTAATTACGCACACAGAAGACTGAGTGATGAAATGTTTTTTTTTTGTGCAAGCAGGTGCTTCATGTTGTGTCTGAGTGGACCCAGTGAGGCATAGACTACATCCTGCTTCGCCTTTAACCCACTAGCGAGAAGTCTTAAAGGGAGAAGCCTATATGAAACAGAACATTGGTTACGTACTATAACCCCAGATTCTATGAGTATAGGTGTAGCCCTTTAAGCTCTGGGCCTCACTGGTTCCTAAATGGCTGAAGAAAAAAGCTTTTTTGGGAGCCGATTACCCGGTCTCACCGTAATTTATACGGACCGGGGTGAGGCCCACACAGCAGGTGGGTGTGGACTAAAGTTTTTTCAGTGCAGCGCTGAGCGTATAGGGATAAACCCTCTAGCAACACGTCTTTAAGGGCTACGCCTATACTCATCGAATATGGGGTTACAGCACGTAACCAACGTTTTTGTTTTTTCCCATTACTTCGAATTAGACTAAAATCATTTTACAACCTGATGAATGATCATTGAGTGGCAGCCACCTCTTATTATCCACCTGAAAAGGGTCTTGCTCTTCTATCAACTTTTATGCGACCCGAACTTCAATGTGTACCTCCACAAATGTTATATCAAAACGACCGGCTCGGCACCGTGATGTGTGCTGTTACTTTCATTGGTGTTTTGTAAGGTTGCCCTAAGGTGTAAATGAACAATGTTTGAAAAAACGGAACTAATTAAGCCAAAGCGGAAGAGACCTGAATCACATTAGAAAAAAAAAACAGAATCACATTAGAAAAAACAGAATTACATTCGAAAAACGGAATGACATAAAAAAAATCAAAAAATCAAAAAACGAATGACATTTGAAAAAACGGAATTACATTATGCCAAACTGGAAGTTTTTTTTTAATTTTTACTTTATTAACAGCATAAAACCAAACAACAGAACAATATACAGTACACACACAACAGAGATGTGTGTGTACTGTATATGCTAAAAAAGTTAAGTCAGGTCCTCTGGATGTTCAAAAAACAACAAAAAATAAAAAATAAATCAGGATGTACTGTATATTGTTCTGTTGTTCAGTTTTATGCTGTTAATAAAGTAAAAAAAAAAATTCTTCCTGTTTGGCTTAATGTAATTCTGTTTTTTGAAATGTGATTCCATTTTTTTTCCAAAAGTAATTCCATTTTTTCAAATGAGATTTGGGCCACTTCTGCTTTGGCTTACCAAATTTTCCGCCATACACGTCGCACCGCCATCTAAGTCACATCAGTCCACATTTGTCTAATGAAGTGGAAAAACCCATAAATATGTCGCTTTGCCATATACGTTGTATCTGTTATGCGTCACCGCTGACAACCCGGAAATGTGGAATGGTGTTGTGCCAATAATCGATGGGCTGCCAAATGATGGCCACGGGAGCGTGCACGGGAGGACTTTAACAAGAATTTAACAAGACTAACACTTAAAAACAATTTTTTGTTTGCTCGAAATTATAATAAATGTGTGTGTCAGTCTAACATTTGTTTAATAAATGCACTTTAATAGTCAAATCAGCTGCATTTAAAAAATAGTTTGCTCCCTCGGTGCTCCATGAACGCGCAGATGAAGAGAAAAGGAAGGAGGAACGCGGCTTGTTTCTCCGAAAAATCACAAGAAAAGCACCTAAACAATTATTTGTTTGCTCGAAATTATAGCAAAGGTGTGTGTCAGTCTAACATTTGCTTAATAAATGCACTTTAATGGTCAAATCAGCTGCATTTCACTGGGGCAGTGCAGCTGGATTGACGGTCGGTCCAAACAACTAGCAGAACCAAGGTGGGGAGACTGTGGCTGGCCGATTGAGTCATTAATAGCTGGTGAAGATTCTCAGTCATCCAGGACATGGCAAATTCAAAAAAGTAAAAAAGAAAAAAAACCAATAAAGTCCAGTTGTTTTTGTTTTGAACATGTCATTATAGCTAAGTTTACCTATTACGTGATACAACTATTACTACTCTGTTGCCATCAAGTGGCTGAAAGTGGTACTGCTCTTTTTTTTTCAGTCAGAATGAATGAAAACTCAGCCAAACAATGGTTTATAAGTATGGGGGAAAAATCCATAAATATGTCGCTTCGGTCTATAAGTCACAGGGCATGTACATTATGCAAAAAACTGAGACTTATACAAAGAAAAATACTGTGATGTAATTCCGTTTTTTCAAATGTTGTTCATTTACACCTTAGGGCCACAGTAGTTTTGAGTTACCATGGTGATGTAATTTGCAAAAAAGACGCCATTTTTCTCATTGAAAAACACTGACAGAACTAGCTTCTAGCTGCCACAGTCAGGTCACATGACTTAAGAGTGTAGAGGTCTCTGAACAAAACTCTGATTAACATTTGGAGCCATTTTGGTTCAAGATGGCTGCCTCAGCTACCTCAGAAAACACAAAATTGACTATAAGTCAGTCACTCTTTGAGATACTGAGCAACATTTGGAATGGCTGTAGCTGAGAGTGGGTTGTGGGGGACTGCCTAGAACGGTAGCTGCCTAGTGCACATCTAATATCCAGGATGGAAGATTATCCAAGAGATAAAACATGATAACTCAGCCATTTTAAAAGATATTGAGCTGAAATTTGGTGTGGTTGTACCTGACAGTGATGTACAGCATATTCTGAATTCAAATCTAAAAATGATTCAAATCAAAATTTTTAAATTGTTGCAATGTGGCAGTCCCCGTTAGTTTCTACAGGTACTTTCTAGTTGATATTATGCCCTGATTTATGAAGCCGTAGAACTTAAAGAGGGTGGATTTTGCTCTTCCCTCCATTACAATAGCTCTACAAAGAGTTGTCTGCTAATGTGCAGTGTTTAGATGATTGTGGTGAAATGAAGAGATGTTAAAAACGATACAAGCAGAACGCTAAATGCAAATCTAAAGAAATCAGTAAAAAAAGACTGGTTGCACTTGTTAATGATGAAATGTTTGACCTTCTTGGTCTGTTCTACCCTGTGAGATGATGTTTATTAAACTAAAGCAGAAGTGGATGCCAACTTTTCCTGCAGATGTCTAAAAGCTCTCTGAAAAGACTATGAAGCTGTGAGCTCAGCATCTCTGAGCCACACAAACAAATACAGAAACAAATCATTTCTGCTTTTAAGTTAAAATACTCATGTTCTAAATGAAGGAAATATCAGTGCAGTAGTGAAGTCTTGTTGAAATAATGGAACTGATCCTTTAAAATATGGTAAACAATAGAAACTGAGCAGAAGAGAAAGACTTGTTTCAACCAAATATCTGTTCTAGAAAACTTAATTTACTGTGTAACAAAGTTATGTCACGTCCTCTGGACAGATTCAAAAAATTAAAAAGTATAAAAACTTGTTGAAACATTTCGTCTTTTATCCAGAAGACTTCTTCAGTCTGAGGAGCTGCAACAAACTCAGTCTAATAAATATCACCTTCTCGTAGTGGATCAACCAGCTGACATCCAGAACTAGCTGTTCACAGTGTCTTGCCCAGGGACACTTCAGCATGTGACTGCTGGTGGAATTGAACCCCCAACTCTTGCATTGGAGGACGACTGCTCTGACCACTCAGCCACAGCCGCCCATGTCAACAACAAACTGGTTGATCCACCATGAGAAGGGGCTATTTATAAGACAGAGTTTGTTGCAGCTCCTCAGACTGAAGGAGTCTTTTGGACAAAAGACGAAACGTTTCAACAAGTTTTTAAATTATTTTTGTAATCTGTCCCCATGACCTGACTTTACTTTGGTAGATTACTTCCCTGTGGTTTGAGTAAGTAAAGCCCAACCTATGATGCTAAGAAAAAGACCGAGTTGTTACCTCGTGAAAATGAGTGTTGTAGGGAAGGTCCTAGTTGTAAGGTCAGTCTGGTCATTTTAGAACTGATGTTCTGTCCAACAGTGATCAATACTTCTGATCAGTGACATCAATCAATCATACAGCTCTTTGAGTGTGCAGACAAGGGCAGACACCAAAAAACTTGGTTCATATTTATATTTCATTTTTTAGGCTCATAGAACCAAAAGAACACACTGGAGTTAAAAATCCCTACATTAGTTATTAATAAACCTCTACATTTCACATGAAACCACTTGTTTTGTTATTGGCTGTTTCCTCAGATTAACAGCTGCTGTCAGATGATTACGTGATAAATTAGGGAAGAAAAGTGGGGCTTTTAACAATTTTACTCTCATGGTGTCTACATCACAGATCCACGTGTACTTGTCCAAAGTTGAGCCCGACTGATATAGACATTTTTACTGTCACCGATACCAACAGAACCTCAATGGCCTATATCAGACTAAAATATCAGTCCTACCGATACGTATCGGTAGGACTGATACGTATCAGTCCTACCGATACGTATCAGTCCTTACGTATCAGTCTCTAGTCCAAAGGACGCTGCTTTTCTGGTTTGTGCAACAAAAACTGCCACATTGTTTGATGCAGGCGACCCAGGTTCAAATATTATAAACATTATTTCTTTATTTCAAACATACTTTGGCATAATGCTTTGGTTAATCTAAATATGAAACCTGATGGAAACATTTACAAAACTTTTATTTTTATTCCAATTTTAGCCAAGATTTTTGGAAAGCTAAAAGTAATCACCTGCAACCAGCTCCGGGTGGACTGGATGCCAGTATAAGATCAGCACAGGGAGGTTTTTATTCCCACTTTTTATAAACACGTGGATATCATGTTCTCCTAAGTTGTGTGATGTCTTTTTTTTTCATTCAACCTTTATTTCTACAGGTTAATCCCACTGAGCCTCAAGGACTCATTTACAAGAGAGACCTGAAATTCAGTCATTCAGTGTTGTTGCAATTATGTTTAATATTTTTTGTTGGGAACCGAGAAAGTGCTGCTTCACCTGCTCCAATGAGCAGATAATATAGTGATAGCACCCAAACGTATGTGTACAAAACATGGACTGGGTTTATGATGATGGTGCCGAGGCTGCTGAGCAGATCAGTTCACCAGGAGTTGGGTAAACTTCTGGACTGATTGGAATCACTGATCCACTGGACTGATGCATTCAGGATCCTCAGCACTGTGGGCAGAGACTATGCTCAGCACACAGACATTCTAATGTGTGAGATGTGAACACCGTGAGTGCATCTAATCCCACGACCAGACGCCCACTGTACCAGAGGCGCTGCGTTGAGAAAATGGCAGCGAGCAAAACAAATGGTGTCATACAAAAGTATTGATGTTTTATTAACTATTGTAGTGTTGATGTTTGGTTTTGGAAAAGTCTTGCTTCATAAACCTGAAAAACAAAACACAGGTCCTGGTTTGTTACCCAAAAGGTCAGCCCTTTTCTTCACTCTGATGTCACAGCTGATGAGGCACCAACTACTGACAACAATGCGACAGAACATCCCTTTAAAAATGACCAGAGCATCCCTCTAAAGTGGTTAGTTTGAATGCTGTACTCACTCTAAGGACATCCTGGCCACAGACTCTAAGGAACTGTAGCCAGCTGCTGTGAAGTTGTCTCTGTAGCGCTCCATCTTGATGGCTTCCAGCCACTCTCCCACCGAGCGGAAAGAAGCGAAGTCTGGTGTGCTCTGATCTAACAGGGGGCTAATTGGTCTGCAGGATGAGCAGAGAGAAACATTCATGTCTTATGTGAACAGGAAGTGTTCATCTGAAATCATAATCAAGCATAAGGCCAGACAAAGCAATGACTACAGGCATCCAGCAGGGTGGCAAATTGGAAAAGGGAGAGAAAAAAGAGCTATTCAGAGGTTTCGATCCAGAAGCAACTCATAAACAGATGCAGCGTGTCTGCCTGCACTTCTGAAAAATATTTTAGTCAATATCTTTTCAATCTGAATACATTTCTAAAGCCCTGCTCTGCAGTCTCTATATAATCGAGAGCTTTTTAACCAGATGTAACCTCTAAGCTCCATCTCACCTCAGGAAAGATGTCCTGACTGCAAATAAAATTCATCTGACAAATGTCAGAGTGCGTGCCGGCACTCCCTCTGCTCTCTGAAGTACGAGGAACTCATTATAGAGATTGATTTAAAAGCCCCGTTATTGACCATAAAGCCATACAGAGGCTGCTACGGGGAATCGATTCCCCAGGAATTATCTTTCATCTTTGAACTAGAGAGGCCAAATCATCCACTGAACACTTTAGACAATCTATTAATGGACTATAATAAAAGTAGAAATTCTTTATCGCCTAAGTCCACATTTGAAACAGATTCATTTAAGGTTTTATTTCCTTACCTTGTACATGTTCCCACTGGGGTTTTCAAGGTGTTAGGGTTGCGGATCATTTTATCGAGGATGCCAACGATCTGATCAAACTTGGGTCGTTCAGCTCGGTCTTTCTGCCAGCAGTCCAGCATGAGTTGATGTAATCCTGGAGGACAGTCCATGGGGGCAGGGAGACGGTAGCCTTCCTCTATAGCTTTTATTACCTGAACAACAAATTAAGACAACTGTTTGAGGTTCAAGTCTTTACTATACATTCTAACGAACAACATACTCTGGTAATCGTGCCCCTTATTAACAACTGCTAACTTTAAAAAGCATATCTAAAACTTTCTTATACTTTTCTATTGAATCGGCCTTTACTCTTACCCTTCATGTAATTTGAATCAGAAAAAAGCAAGACCTTTTTATTTTTAATTTCAGCCTTGTGTAAAGAAAATAATTATTTTTCCAACTTGCAAAAACTTAACTCTTATTAAAAGTGTTGCAATTGAATTATATCCCAGACATCAGCAGGTAAAGCTAAGAAGGTATTTTTGTATTCAGCTTGGGCATTTCTATAGCAGCTATGCAACCCTATTCAGTGATCAGTGAAGTTTGAACAATATTTTATAACAAATATTAAGGTGAACTAGAGTTTCTGGAGAAACTCTGATGGGACAGCCACGTTGTAGTCATTGTGTTTGTTCAGTGCCCTGGATGACTTCTTTTGTGACTTGGTGCTATATAAAGAAACTGAATTGAACTGAATTTCCACATTTTGATTTGACAGTACTATGTGTTGAGGTTTGTTCTCAGCTGCCATCATACCAAATGTCAGCTCATTATGGCAAAACATAAATAAATCAATGCGTTATAGTCATTTTTTCTTTTAACATATGACGGCCAACTTTGGTTTTTGATTTGGATCCAGTATGAGATGGGGAACATTCTCAGCCCCACCAAATTTCAACTCATCTTTTAAGATAGCTGAGTTATTGTAATTTTTTACTTTTAGCTAAGGCGGCCATCTCAGATTTTTTATTTGCATCATCAGGAATGTGTAACAACTTGCTCTCAGCTACTCCCATTCCAGATTTCAGCTCAACATCTCAAAGATCAATTTTGAGTTTCCTGAGGTAGCTGTGGCAGCCATCTTCAACCAAAATGTCTCTAAAAGTTAATCAGTGTTTTATTCAGGGACCTCTTCCCTCTCGGTCATGTGACCTGACTGTGGCAGTCAGAGGCTGTGAAGAGTTCTGTCAGTGTTTTCAATGAGAAAAACAGTGTCTTTTTTTGCAATTACGTCACCACGGTACTTTGTAATTCAAAATGACAATAAAAGTAAAAGCACACATCCCGGTGTCATTTTGATACAAGATTTGTGGGGATACACGTTGCGATTCGGGCCACATTAAAGTTGAAGGAAGAGCAAGACCCTTTTCAGGTGGATAATAATAGGTGGCTGCCTTCAGACAGTCCCCAATTCTCCCACACAACAATCATGAATATACGTGCGATAGTAAGGTCAAAGGTCAGTTTGACTTATAATATCTTTGTCCATGATGTAAATCAACAAACTAAAGTTCAGTGAAACAGCACGAACCTGCAGGTATCAGTTGCAATATGAAGAACTTACCAGTTGATGACTACCAGCCAATCCAAACCATTTTATGACCACAGTGGTTGTCTACATGAGTACCACTCAATATTTCTGTGGTAGAAGTGGCCTTAGTAAAAACTGGGTCTAGTGTGGAGCCACATTCTGTCATTTTCTAGCCAAAACATTTGTGGAGTTACACCATGGACAACTTATTGTAGACTGTCTTTTATGGACGGACAGATAGGGACAATCTAGGGAACAAAGAGTTTGGCATTTCTACGTCACTTGGATGTGAAGCAGGAATATACACAGGTTTTTACCAAAAGGGGTCACCTTGGACCTTGAAATCATTAGGGATCATCATTATACAAAGATACGTAGAAATGCCAAACTCTTTGTTCCCTAGATTGTCCCTATCTGT